GTACCACCATGGTGAGAAAGATGAGCATGGTCATCTCTCTTTCCCCAGGGCTGGTGGGGACAGGGGAGGCACACAGGACAAATGGATTGTGGTGATGGTGTGGGGTGCAGTGGAGAGGGTGCTGCAGAGGTGATGGAGGTGCTCCACTCAAGACCTGCTTGGGACCAGGGAGAGTTGCCCCCTCAGGCTCACGTGTCCCCCCCGCAGCACCTGCAAGGCTCCTCGCTCTGGTCAGGCATGACGGGGTGATGAGGAGCATGGGGATGGAGTCACAGTGATGGGAAAAGCAGGGATTTTGCATCTGTCTTCCTTGTTTCAAGTACTGGAAAACACTGTGTTCAGGGAGGCTGTGCTGGTGATGGTCCTGGTTTGAGTAGGGTCGTTCAAGGGCTGCTTCTGACTAACACTGGAGTTTCTGTGAGCTGTCAGAACAGGTCTCCTCTGCCCACACCTGGCAGCTGCCTGCAGAAGGGGGTAGCAGCACTGGTCTGGGGCTGAGTGACTGTTCCAGCTGCTCCATCCACCTGGCAAACCTGTTCAGACTAAAATACTGACTCGGGTAAAGCCTGAGCTCGAGGGTGCCCATGAAGTGCCACTCTCCAGGTAGTTTCAGCCCAGCAGTTGGAGGTGAGCTGCTGGCATGTGCAGGAGTAACATGTGATAACCGTGGTCTCAGTGGTACTTGTGCCTGAGTGACACAGGTTTATGAGCTTGGGAAGGGCTCTGGTATGTATGTAGGAGGCTGAGGACTGTTATCCTGCTCCTGCAGCTCTCCAGGTAGTTGAGTAAACGAGGTGTGTCGGCTTCCGATGCCGTAAAGCTCCCGTTGCGCCGCAGTCGCAGCCTGGGCTGCTGTTTGCACAACCACTGTACAAAGGCAGTTTGTAACAGCAGGCTGGGTTCACCTGGGGGTCTGACTGACCTGGGGGACTTGAGTTCAGTTTATAACACTCCTGCCTTGTCCTGAAAGGGTGTAAATGGTGATTCTGGAAGGGACTGTGAGTTTGACGTGGATGAAAAAAAGAGGGAGAAAGGAAAAAGAGACGTACCTTCCAGTTTGACATGTTTACAGCCTGGAGAGCTTGGAAGGAGCATCTTGAAATAACAGGCAGTAAGGATTAATGTGCTTGTGTCTGAGGAGGCTGATGAAAGGGGGAAAGAGGGAGAAGTTACAAAATGCCTGTTTGTTGTGCCAGGAGCTGTGGAGAACCACAGGAAACAGCACTGGGAGGCACTGACAGGCAGTGCTGGGGCCAGCCCAGAAATCCCTTCCACTTCATTTTTGTATCTATTCAGAGATATGATCTGTTCTGCCCTGACCTGTGCTCAGGGGACAGCCTGAGTCTGAAGCCTGGAAAGGTGTTAAGAGAGATAAAATTGCTCCAGCTAGAATAATCTTTCTAAGCACTTCTCCCTCAGCTTAGGGAAAAAAGGTGCATTAGAGATGATAACTGAAAATTCTGTTACTGCAGTTGCTTAGGCAAAGGTTACTCATTACAACTGTGCACTTGCTCAGTACAAGTAGTGCTGGGCTGTGTAATGAGTTAATGGCCTAAAAACTGCAGTGTCTCTGCATCTGCTGAATAAGTCACCTTTCTGTTTCTGTTGTGGAGCTTTTGCAAATGGGTTTAGCTAACAGAGCTTTCAGATAACCACTTTTCCTTATGCAGCTGATGAAATAATAGAGATTATTGCATCTATTGGAAAAAGGCTTTTGAAACTCTGTATGAAAAAGTTTGCTGGTATTATTATTATTTTTTTATTGCTTTCTGAGGCCCAGGAGATGGGCCTCCAGATGCTCTGGACTGGATGGTGATCAGAAATTTCCATTCCTTAGGCATCTCTGGAAACCACCTGCATGTGTGTTCCATCTCTACAACACCCTGCTAATATGCAAGGGCTCACAGACACAGTTCTGCATCGTGGTAGATCCCTGAGGTGCAAAGTCCAGAAAATTTTGTCTTGCAACTCAGCCCTGGCCACATCCATGGAATGGGCAGGAGCATTCCCAGAACCACAGCCCTGTCTTCTGGTGGGACTAGAGTGTAAATGTCTGTGATAGATTGAATCCTGATTTGGAAGCTTCAAGCAATATCCTCTCTGTCTTTAGTGAAAAGGATTTCAGCAGCTGATTAGCGTCACTGTTAAAAATGAGATACTTTATTCTTGTTGTGATTTTTTTTTTTCTAGCTTCTGCTCTCGGTTGCTCAATCTCACTTTGTCTCTGCTTAGATTGAATGAAGCCTTTTGGTGTCAAGTGTTCTGTGTTTGTAAACACTTTGAGGCTGTGATGACAAACCTGCATTACAAACACATGTTTGTGCAGTGCCCCGTCATGTGCTGATAGGATCTTGAATAGCTGCACTTAAAATAATGAGAAAATAGTGGCGTGTTTATTTCTTGTGCTTCCATTTAGTCTTTCAGCCGAGTCTTGCTGGTTTTATCCGAGTTCCTTTCAAACACATGGAATATTGTTCCTTAGTTTTTCTGATTAAGGATGATGCTTAATTCCCGTAGTTTCAAAACCTGGAGGGAATAAAGTGATTCTGGTGCATTTTTATGCTGGGGCTGCTCAGTCTGTGCAGTCAGCAGGGTATTTGTTTGTGTTGATGCTGCATTTCTCACCCTCCAGACTGGTTGTTACACTTGTTAATGTGAAGACTGTTGATATAACACCATATAAGGTTGGAGGTCTGTTTTAAATGGTCTGTAAGCTCCCTTTCAGCTTGTCCATCCTGAGATGGGAATGTCAGAGAGCAGCAGGATGGATTGCTCCTCCTCTCCACGACCTGAAAGGCTGAGGGCAGCAGATGCAAGTTGGACACCCAAAATAATGTAAGGGTTTGTAGAATGCCAGGAGCTCACAGCTATGGCTCATGGGTATAAGACAACCTGAAGTCTGAAGAAAGGTCACTTTTTAAAGATTAACCAATCCTGATGGAAAAAGAAAACCAGCAAACAAACCCCAAAATCCCAACCACCCCCAGCCAAGCCTTCAAGCACACAAGCCTTGTTTTCAGCCTTGCCCAAATCTTTGTATCATCACAGCTACAACAGTACTACCACGGGAGCCTTTGGGTGAGCTAAGAATAGCAGATTTCCTTGAGAAATGCTTTTGTTTATTTGGGTTTTGTATTTTTAAGTAGTTGGAGCCTTGGTGACCTTTTTCTGAAGGGTCCTAGAAGAATAGCCTGCTCAGAGAGCATTGTTGTAATAAGGAGGGCAGTTGTGAACTGCCTTAATTCTCTGGCTTCTTCCCTGTGACCTGCGAGGTTTTACTGGCAAAATGAGGGAAAAAAAACCTCATGAAGTTGTCACACCTCTGAACTTTTCATAGCTGAGATCAGCAGAGATTAAAGGATGGGGAACTCAGAGGATTGAAGGGTAAAAATGCCAGGAATGGAAACCCATGATTCTGGGTTGGTAGAATGATGCCCAGCTTAGAAAACATATTTTTGCAAAGATTTGTCTGCTGGGAAACAGCAGTTATGCTCAGGATTTATTTTCTTTTTCAGGGAGGGGTTGGTTTCAGGGATTTTTTTTTTAAAGGGTTTTATTTTTTGAATGAAGGAAATGGAAGGGGATCAATGAAGGGGTAGTGGCACGTAGGGAGGCAGGGGCAGGATGGTGATAGTGAGGAAAGGGAACAGGTCTGGGAGTAGAAGTGATTAAAATATCCTGAGTGAAACACACATGAGATAAGAGGATCAAAGCTGTAGATTTAAGACAAAAGAAAGATGTGTATTTGGATATTTTATTGTGGCCTGTTGGCTGGTGGGCAGGAAGGCTGTAAGCAAGACAAAGCAGGGGAATTTGACTTTCAGTGACACTGTGCTTTACTGCTACCCTTGCTCTTAGATGGACACAAAGTAAAATTACAGCCTGAGAGAGACTCACAGTACAACAGCCAACACACTTCCTACCCTGTGATTAAAAGAGAAAAAAAAAAAAAAGAGAAAGAAACAACTGTTTTTGGCAACTAAGAAAAAGTAAAAAGCCAAACTATCTTTGTGTCAGGGGACCTGGTGATATTCACTGGCTCGAGCCCTGACTGGTGGCTTGGCAAGTGCTGAAGGGAGAGCACTGAACACACTGAACTGTGTTTTATGTGCTTGTCTTAACTTGGGAGCCGAGAAAAGTGTACAGTTGATACTGAAATAAAGTGCAGTGGGGATTCATGTATTTATATCACCTGTTCATTTCACAATGGAACGTGGATCCTGGTTGGAAAACCTAGGCTTTTGCTAAATTTTAATTGCCTTCCCCTGCTGATCATACAGTAAAGGTTGTTTGCTGAGTAGGGGTGGTTTCCAAATCAGGGTTCTGTACACACAAAATACCCTGTTATTTTCTCATCTGTCTAGACAGGTCACCTAATCCAGTATTAAAATGCTGAAACGGGAGGGAAAACATTTTCTGGAAGCTTTCATGTGAAGAATTCACAGGAGCTCGCCAAAGCCAGGATTAGGAAAGCTGTGCTTGAAGAACTGAGCTGACCTGTTTCAGTTTCTATAGGATGTAGATGGCAGAAAAGATGTTTCCTTCTTGTGGCAGTTAAAATACGTGGACCAAAGTGTTATCTGGAGATTGAGTAGTGTTGTAGAATGTCTATGGGAGTGAGTTCTCCCCCTCTGTTCTGCCCCAGTGAGACCCCCCCCCCGCAGAGCTGCCTCCAGGCCTGGGAACAACAGCACAAGGACGTGGAGCTGCTGGAGAGAGTCCAGAGGAGGCCCCGGAGATGCTGCCAGGGCTGGAGCCCCTCTGCTCTGGAGCCAGGCTGGGAGAGCTGGGGGGGTTCCCCTGGAGAAGTCTCCAGGAGAGAGAGACCTTCCAGCACTTATAGAAAAGAGAGAGAATGACTTTTTAAAAAGGCAGACAGTGATAGGACAAGGAGGGAACAGTTTTAAACTAAAGAAGGAGGGGTTTAGATTGAATGTTGGGATGAAGGTCTTACCTGTGAGGGTGGGGAGGCCCTGGCCCAGGTTGGGCAGAGAAGCTGTGGCTGCCCCTGGATCCCTGGAAGTGTCCAAGGCCAGGTTGGACAGGGCTTGGAGCAACCTGGTCTGGTGGAAAGTGCCCCTGCCCATGGCAGTGGGGTGGAACGAGATGAGCTCTAAGGTCCCATCCAGTCAGGATTCTATGACTCTCCGTTCTGTTGGGCAGTGGCAGTTGGGACCTGCTGCAGTGGCAGTTGGAAGTGGTGCAGTGCCAGTTGGAACAAGCTCTGGTGGCAGAGCCAGAGTTTGCACACACTGCGCAGATCCCTCTTGCAGGTGAGTCCAGCGAAGGGTGGATTGAGCTGAAGCTGTTCCAGTTTAAAGATTTCCAAAACAGTTCTCAGAGCCCCATTGGGACCACCCTCCTTTTCATACCACTGCTTAAAACTGCAGTCTGGTGTCAGCTCTCCTCAGAGAGTGGATGTTGCTTGGTCAACATACATAAATGCTCTAAGATCCTGGAGAAAAAGAGACTCTCCAAATGAAACTACTGTTACCTTGAACTTTGTTAGTACATGTGATCAGAAACTTCAATAGTGTCTTCAGTGCAAAGGTTCGACCCTTCTGGTGATGGAAGAGAGGCATAGTCAACACTTTGACACTGGCCAAGCGTTGGGTAAATTGAGGAGGAACTCAGAAGGGGTATCCAGCAGCTTGGCAAGAGGAAGAGGCAGAACACTGTCTCCTTGCATAGCTCTGTATTCAGTAAGTGTTTGGGGAGGGAGGATGGTAAAGCTAGGAATTGTGTGTGTGTTTTATCCAAATCATTGGGCACCAACAGATTCCAAGGGCGATGAATCGTGGGCTGTGTGTTTATCCTTTGCAAACTGAGACTGATGCCAGTGTGGGCCTGGTGGAGTTTGGGTCTCTGTACCCTGTTCCTTCACGCTCCGGAGGGCAGGTGTGAACTGCCCAGAACCAGATGTCTACACACTGACATTTGTGTGTAAAGACACCCTGCATTGGTGATCCCTGATTAGGGACCCTTAGCCATGGACTCAGGCTGCTGAGTCCCACCTACTAAAATAAGGTAATGGGGCCTGAGAACTAAGGATGGACACTGGTATAAAGATGACTTCTGGGAGTTTACAAAAGAAAATTGGATCCTGCTCAGAGGAGCCGTTGGATGTATTGGGTAGGTGGAGGTAGAGTTGAACTGGTCAGGACTGGTGTGGGTTTGAACCTCTCTTCATCAAAGCCCAAGGCTGATCCTGATGTGGCAGGACAGCGTTGGCTCCAGAGGCTGCATCACGGGGCTGTGAATTTCTGAACTAGCCCTTGTTGGCTTTCATCAGTTGAAACATTTTCCCATCTGTCCCATTTCTGTAATGATTGGTTTGATATCCAGTCTCCGTGCTTGGAGCTAAACCCTCCTTACCTAGTGCCCTGGTTAGAGGATCTGAAGCTTATGCTTTGTGGTTGCCACAGTGGCACAGTGGAGCTTCATCACTGGGTCGTGGAGCTCGTCGGCACTGGGGACGTCGTTCTTTTGTCTTTATTTTTCAAAGCCTTTACCACAAAATTGCCACTTTCAGAGGTTATATAAAAACATGGGAGTTTGACAGTCCTTTGGAAATAGTCTACATCGTACAAGAGGGTGGAGATTTCTGCAGTTTCCAGTACTGGTCCTCCAGGCTAAAAAGTTGTTGCATCCCAGTTTGACCTCAGTTATCCTTTCCGTGCATCCCATTTTGAAAGGCTGGGTCCAGTTCACAACTTTCTTTTCTCTTCTTGCCCGGCTTCTTTATTTCCAGTTTTCTTTTTGCCTTCCCTGGGAATTTTCAACCGCGGAGGGTAAGCGTTTGTAAGCACTTGTTTGCTTTCTTCCCGTAGGTTCCTTAGAAAGAGAGCTTGGACGGCATGCAAAGTTGTGAAATATCTGCAGACAGCACGGATGATCCTCTTAGTAGTGGCCTACGGAGAAAGCGACAGCCTCGAATAGTCGTTATCGGTGCTGGGCTCGCGGGCCTGTCGGCAGCCAAGGCGCTCCTGGAAAGCGGCTTCACGGATGTAACTGTCCTTGAGGCGACCGACCGCATCGGGGGCCGCGTGCAGAGTGTGAAACTCGGTAAGAGGGGCCTTTCCCTGCTCTCCCGGCGAGCCCTTGTGTTGTCGTTAGGTTAATCCGACCTCGGGAACGGGATATGTGCACGTGCAGCGTTGGGTTTGGGGTGTGGTGTTGTCGGGAATGTAAATCCCTGGGCTCCTTTCGGGGTGATCCCGTGCTGTCTCGTGCATCGGTTCCGACGCAGCGCTGCTCCAAACCCCGTGTTTCCGTGACATAAAGATCTGGATGATTGTTTTCACTCTCGCAGGAACAGCTCTGTGATTAAGGAGCTGTACTGAGACAGTTTCCACCCAGGTTTTCCAGCCCGACTCTTGCCCGGGAGCAGCCAGTAAATCTCCCGGCTGGCGAATGTTTCTCAGGGCTTACGGCGCTTGCAAAGGGGAAGCTCTGAGCTGTTCTGCCTCACAAACAACCCCATTCATTTCCCTTGAAGTAATTTACTGTGTAGGGCACTACCCACTGGGAATCCGGCTGCTGGAAAAACCTCTTCAATGTATCCTTTCATCCTGATTTGCAGCTTTCCCACCTCTGCAGGTTCCTTTCTTGGTGTGTAGTAGAGGTGCAGGCGCTGGATATTTGAATCCCGTGTCAATTGGAAGGGCTCATAAAATCTCTAAATGCAAAACTCGTGGAACAAACATTGTCCTTTGCAGCACAGGAGTCAGTGAAACTACCCAGGAGGACGTTGCTTGTCTCTCCTCTGCGGGAGGGGAAAATCTTTTCGCTTTTACTGCATTTTCCTCCTGATTTCAACAAACTAGTTCTGTTTCTATCCCACTGTCTGGATTTATTACCTTTGTCCTCTTCCTGCCCTGTTTTCTTTTTATTTCTTAGGTGATTACATCACTTACTGTGTTTTACTCAGTAAACTCACCACGGTAAACAAACAGCAGCGTCCCGTGAACTTGCAGAAGGGAAATGAATGGAAAGGCAGTTGGACAAATCTAATCTCCAGGGTCTGAATAGGGCACTTCACATTCTGCTGAGACTTGGCATAGAGCTGAGGATGGGAAGTGTGTCCTTTACTCACAATCCGCTGTATTAAAAATATCCTGGATTGTGCCTGTGAGAGGAGGGAAGTGCCAAAGAGCTGAAATCTTCAGGGAGCAATAGATCATTTTGCCAGTGCACCTGTGAAATAGTTTTGGTGTATTAGTTTTGAGATTGATTCTCTCACCTTTGGCCACCTTCACCAATAACTCACATCTTTGCCTTTGCTGGGAATCCACCTCCTGTTCGTTAACACTCCTTAATTAATTCAAGACGAGAGCAGACATTGCAATCTGGGGGAGGTATCACAGTTTGCAGATAAAACTGTTATTTGCAAGGCAGAGACTGGAATCCAAAGTCTTGATCTTTTAACACCTTTCCTAAAACTGCAAATGGTCTTTTCTTACCTTCTGCAAACGCTCAAGGCTGCCCTGTGTGGGTGTGGGCTGCAGTTCTCTCCCGAGGTGGATCCGTGTTTTGACCCCCTGTGCTCTTGGCAGATTCATGTGCCTTTTAGCAAACGATTTTGGAGCCCTGTTGGGTGGTGAAGCAGCACATATTCAGAGCCTGCTTATTGCCTGGTACGAGGGCATGGTCCTGGGCTGTGTTTTCTTCTTCTGTGCTTCCTGGAGCAGCAAGACTGCACCAAGGACGTGCAAGACCTGCTCATTTCTCAGAACTGGCTAAAGCTGCATAAACAACTGTTAAAGAAGTGGTTCTTCTGGGCCTTCAACATATGACCAGTTTGATCTGGCCTTTAAATGTTAAATGGCATTTAAATGTTAAACTTCTCTGGCCCCACCCCTGTCTGCACACTTGACTGAAGATCTGATTTAAATCTTTATCAGAGCTACTAATTAGGAAGAAATTCTTCCCTGTGAGGGTGGTGAGGCCCTGGCACAGGTTGCCCAGAGAAGCTGTGGCT